TTGAAAGGACATTGCATGGAATTTGGTGTACTGGGTTTGAGGGATCCTGGAGTTACCTTATCTTACCGATCTGGAGTCTCCCCTCTTTCTAGGCCCCTTTCCTTTGTTGTTTGCGTTTTTCTCAGTCCGTCTGTCTCCCCAGGCCTCCTTTACTCCCTGTCTACCCGTGCTTGACTCTGCCCGCCATCTGGAATTGACTTTGTACTCTTAGCTGTGGAAGGGCGCAGCTGGGCAAAATGGTCAAGGGTGATCTCAGTGTAGCTGTCAAGGCCCTGTGAGGGGTCATCTTGAGGTTTCTTTTAGAGCAGCAGCTAAGGGAGCTGCAGAGCTCTGCGTCAGGACTTAGGAGAAGGAGGCTCGGGGAGGGCGCTGGGGCGCTGGTGGTGGACCAGCTGTAGGCGGCGTGGATGGTGCGACAGGCGGGGTGGACCGGGCTTGGGGTAGGCCCCAGTGCTCCCTGCAGCCCCCGAGCAGTTTCTCAGGAGGCGTTGGTCTTGCAGATGCTTCAGGACTGTCCCAAGGCCCGCCGCGAGGTGGAGCTGCACTGGCGGGCCTCCCAGTGCCCGCACATTGTGCGCATCGTGGACGTGTATGAGAACCTGTATGCGGGGAGGAAGTGCCTGCTGATTGTCATGGAGTGGTGAGCAGCCTTCCTCTTTGTTCCTGGCCCAACCTGATCCCACCCCTGCTTAGGCCCCTGACCTTCTAAGGATGGCCAGATGGGGACTCAAGCCTAAAATGTAAACGCTTGACTTCTTTTGGTGGGAGCGTGATGGTGGTGTGTGCACCAGATGTGACTGTGGCTTTGTTTCAGTTTGGATGGTGGAGAGCTCTTTAGCCGAATCCAGGACCGAGGAGACCAAGCCTTCACAGAAAGAGGTAGAAAGGGTCTGTTGTGGGAACCAGGCTTTGGCAGGCAGTGCAGCAGGGTGTCTGAAGGGGGCCTCGGGCAGCCGCTGCTCTCCTGAGAGGTGCTGAGGCCTGCTGCTCCTCCAGCTCGTGCTGAGTTCCTGGGGTGGGGGGTGGATGCAGGGAGCCTGGGGCTGTGTCGGGGGCCTGGGGTATTGGGTTTTCAGACCTAATGACACATCTTGTGGCTTTTCTTCCCTCTCTTTCCTGCTCTCTTCTCTGCAGAGGCGTCAGAAATCATGAAGAGCATCGGTGAGGCCATCCAGTATTTACACTCGATCAACATCGCCCATCGGGATGTCAAGGTACCCGCTGTGCTTACTGCCCCCCTGCCGCCCCCCAGCTCAGGTGTCCTGGAGGCCATGGGGGTCAGGGTCACGGCGACCTCAGGAAGATTCCCATAGTCGTCCTGCATCCTTGAGCCTGGGTGAGGGCAGAGTGGGACAGAGTGCTACCCTCTGCCCTGCAGGGCCCTGCCTTCTCTGGGCAAACCCCCAACCCGGTCTGTAAGCCTCCTGAGGCCACACTCAGCCCCGTGGTCCTCCTGAGTCAGGCCCTCTCAGTCACACCTTTGGTCTCTGAGTCCCTGTGGTGTTTACTGCTGGGTCTCTGTGTGAGTCTCTCATCTCCAAGCACCCTGTACGCTCTCGGGAGGCTGGGTCCTCGTGGTGTGCAGATCACAGGGGCTGGACAGATGGTTGTAGAACAGAGGAAGGAAGGGAGGGAGGAATCTTTACCCTTTGGGTTTCTGGTAGCCCCGCCAGGTTCAGCAGGGCTGTTACTTATGTCTCTCTTTCTGTAGCCTGAGAATCTCTTGTACACCTCCAAAAGGCCCAACGCCATTCTGAAGCTGACTGATTTTGGCTTTGCCAAGGAAACCACCAGCCACAACTCCCTGACCACTCCTTGTTACACGCCATACTACGTGGGTAAGTCCAGAGAAGGCCCGGGGAGCTTGTCTTTCCCCAGAGCTTTGTCAGCCCCCACTTTGGAGGTCTCAGGGCCACTGGTCCTAAGAGGGTCGTGTTCTCCAGCCCTTTCTAACACTGGTCCTGATGTGACCTGAGCCGAAGTGGGGCTTGTTGGAGCTCAGCTGGGGTTGAAGCAGTGTAGGAAGTTACCTGCCTGAGTTTGTGGGTAGGACTTTGCACACACGTGCGCTTTTCCTGAGATGAGCCCGCTGCTCCCATCAGACTCCCGATGGAGTCTGGGACGCAGATTTGATCAGGAGTCCCAGCTGATAGGTACGGAGTAAACTCTGAAAATGTGTTTGTCAAATTAAATGGCAGCCTGAAAGGCTCTTGCAGTTCAAGAATTGTTTCCCATTGAGATTCCAACCCCTAGGGCTCCTCTTGCAGGAGGGTCTTCTGCTCCCCTCCGTCCAGGCCAGCGCCTGGACTGTGGCCGTTTCCCCTCCCAGCCCAGCTCTGGTCCCATCATGATGGACTGAAGGGCTGGATGGGGAGCCCCATCCACAGAGGAACTGGGGCAGATCGCCGGGTTCCCAGGGCTGGACCCACCCATGTTGACCTTTGGTTTGCAGCTCCAGAAGTGCTGGGCCCAGAGAAGTATGACAAGTCTTGTGACATGTGGTCCTTGGGTGTCATCATGTACATCCTGTGAGTGTACGGGTAGGAGCCTTGGGGGAGCGGGGCTGGGCTGGGCTAGGGCAGGGAGTGGAAGGAGGCCTTCATCTCTCTGGGACAAGAGGAAGAGGCAAAGATTAGTATTCCCCTTCTGGATGGGAGATGCCCTGGGAATCCCCTGCATGTCCCCTCCTCTCAGTGTTCCATGGATTCTGACAGCTAAGTGCTGTAAACTAGCTAATGGGCAGGAAAACGTGTGGTTAGATACTTGGTGTGTTGGATTCCGGAGCCCTGTCCTTGACTTTGTATATTGTCCCTGAATCAGTGAGTTACAATTTCTGTGTGACTTTACAAGAAGAAGCCTGTGTCTCACTCTGTTCCTGGTGCAGGGCTTCTAAATAACACCCTCTCTGCCCCTCTCTTCCCGCTTCCTGTCGGCCCAGGCTGTGTGGGTACCCCCCGTTTTATTCCAACCATGGCCTTGCCATCTCTCCTGGTATGAAGAGTCGCATCCGAATGGGCCAGTATGAATTTCCCAACCCGGAGTGGTCAGAAGTATCAGAGGAAGGTAAAGAGCTAACGTGTGTGTGTGCATGTGCGTGTGTGCTTGTGTGCGTGTGTGTGTGGGACATCTGTCTCACGTGGGTGGTGTGGTTGTGGGTCTGCACCTGGCCCACACCTGCTGGACGTGTCCTGCCTGTGTAAAGGGCTTGCAGCAAAGCTAGGGGTGTGGGGTGTTCAGGGCTCTCGGGTGGTGGAGCCGTTTTGGTCCTCAGGGCCAGCTCCTCAGCAGCCCCCTCTGAGTCTGGTTTCCCCCTGCAAACCGTGGGAAGAGCAGGAGGAAAGGGGCCCCTGAGCCGTCTCTGTCCCCTGCCCGCACCCTGCTTCCCCCACAGTGAAGATGCTCATCCGGAACCTGCTAAAGACAGAGCCCACCCAGAGGATGACCATCACTGAGTTCATGAACCACCCCTGGATCATGGTGAGCCGGGCGGGCTGGAGGGGCCCGGGTTCACGGGGACAGTCCCTCGGGACTCCGCCCTGTCCCAGGTTTTCACTCGGCCCTTCTCTCTCCCCTCAGCAATCAACGAAGGTCCCTCAAACCCCACTGCACACCAGCCGGGTCCTGAAGGAGGACAAGGAGCGATGGGAGGACGTGAAGGTGAGGGGACACTGGTCAAGAGGGGCTCGGGGGCCCACAGGGAGCGTCAGTGTGGAGGTGGTGCTGGCGCCGAGGGCCGGTTCCGCGCCCTCTCACCCCAGGGCACGTCTGTTACAGCGGGAGCAGCAGCTCTGAGCGCTTCCCTGACCACGCTGTGGGCAGAGGATGCTTTGTTGGGTTTAACTTGGCCGTGGCTGTTTCCTCCAAGCCCTCTACTCCCTGGGTCTCTAAAGGGACTTGAAAGGCCACCTGGTACCATCTCCTCACTTCATGTATGAGGAGACTGAGGCCCAGAGAAGGGGGTGACCCGTCGTGGGTCGTGCAGCTGGTGACTGGTGGCGCGGACGAGAACCCCGGTGCCCTGCCTTCCCGTGGGGTCGTTGGAGGGCTCTCTGGGAGCGGCACTGACCCAGCCCTGGGCCCGAGCCAGCCCACCCTCTGTCCCTGCCCCTGCTCTGTCACCCTTGTCCCACCCCTGCTATGTCTCTCACTTCTCACGGCTTTGCTGGTGCACCCCCCACCCTCCAGGAGGAGATGACCAGTGCCTTGGCCACGATGCGGGTTGACTACGAGCAGATCAAGATAAAAAAGATCGAAGATGCGTCCAACCCTCTGCTTCTGAAGAGGCGGAAGAAGGCTCGGGCCCTGGAGGCCGCGGCCCTTGCTCACTGAGCCGCTGAGCCCGCCCAGCTCTACTGGAGGACAAGCAATAACTCTCGACCCGAATATATTTTTTTAAACGAAGAGACACAGAACTGTCCACTTCTGCCTCCCCTCCTCCTCGGCTGTGTGGAGCCTGGACCTCGTCAGAGGCTGAGTTCTGGCCGCCCCCGCGAGGGAGCCGCTGGGAGGCCAGGAGGGCATGGAGAGAAGGAGCAAGATGCTCTTGGACCTGGGCTCCTTCTGCGATTTTATCAGTAATTTGACTTGGAATTTTTATGAAACCTCTTTTATTGTTCTTCCCCTCACTCTCGCTGCTCCTCTCCCCCAGACCCCTGCCTCTCTGGATCTTGCAAGGGTTTGGGGTTTGTTCAAGGGTGTTTGTGGAGACCGTGATGGGGAGCGTCCCTGTGTTGTCCCATCTGCCCTTTCCGATTTCCCACTACAGCCCGGTCCCCAATGGCTGAGGCATCCTGGGAGCTGCAGGCCACGGAGAGCTGGGGCCAGGCGGCCGCCCCTCCTCTGCTGAGCTCTCGGACACCACCAGTGTGCCCGGCAGATGGGAGTGAGTGTGGGTGTGTGTGTGTGCGTGTGCCCGTGCGCGTGTGCCTGGGTCAGGGCCTGGGCTTGTGTATTTGAGGGGCCAGGGGCAGACGGGGCTGCGGAGGGGGGCCCCCCGTGGCTCAGGAACCCTCTCCCTCCTCGGGCCTGCTCTGCCCGCATCGGGCCTTCCGAAGTGCCTGGGAAGCCTGTCCAGATCCTGAGCCAGGCCGTCGCGCCCGCCTCTGTGAGCTGGTTCCGGGGGGGTGGAGAGGAGTGACTTAGCCCCCGCCCAGCCATCCGGAAGACTGGAGCCCCGCCCCGGGACCCGGCTCCCCTCTCAGTGCTGGGCCGGGTCCTCTGTGGCGCTGATATACCGAGTCACCTCTCTGCTTCCCCTTCCTGCCATTATTAACCCATCTTCTTTATTTTCTGACATTTTAGCCATTTCTCAGCAGGCCCCCTCTCAGCCCTCGGGGGTGAGCCTGGGCGGTTTATGAATGACACAGAGCTACTGCCTTTCCGGGCCTCCCGGGGTCCGGGGGCGTCGGCCAGCGAGCCCTGTGGTCGAAGGCAGCACCGCTTATGTGGCCCTGCTGTAAACTCCGCCATGTGGCCCTGAGGGTGGGGGGGGGGTCTTCGCACCAAAGATGTCCCAACTCTGCCCCTTCCCCATCAGCCACCGTGCCCCCACCCCAAACAACTCAGCATCGCGTGTCCAGGCCAGTGAGGGGGTGGGGTGGGGAGCCCCCACGTATGCATGAGGAGCAGTGTGAGGAGAGGCCCTCTGTGCCATGGTCCCTTGGGGCAGGGGTGGCACTAATATTTCAGCTTTCATCTCCCTCAGGGGCAGGGTTTGGGGGTCGGGGGTGCCCAGGGTCTTCTCTGGGCAGGGAGGAGGGCTCTGAGGACCTGCAGTACCTCCCTGACTCTGACGGTGTGTCCAGCACTCAGATTGTTGTAAACTGTTGTTTTGTATGAGCAAAATTGTCTTTACTAAACAGATTTAATAGTTGAAATGTTTTCTTTCTCTTCCTTCATGGGGCTCAGCCCCTTGACTCCCCCACCTCTCTTATCCCCATGCGTGGAGATCTGTGTTGTGAGTGGGAAGGGCAGGGTCCTGGGGTCCTGGGAGAGGAGAAGAGGGCCTCCCGGGTGAGAGGGAGCCAGTGCCTGCCCCGTCGAGGGCCTGGCTGGGGTGTGATGTGTCTGGTGTGGGTTTTTGAAGAGCAGGGCCGGTGACACCCACGGCTGGAGAGCCTTTGCCCATCTGCCAGGTACTGAATCAGGGCCAGGCGCCGGCACCCTCAGCCTTGGGGGCCGGCTGGCGTGGGGGTCCATGAAGAAGTTGGTGGTGTTGGTGAATTGGTTCAAATTCTGGGAAAGAGACCAGAGGAGCAAGTTGCTGTAGTTCCTGAAAGTACCAGGAGGGGGTGATAGGGGTCAGGCAGAAACCAGAATACTCTTCGTTGGACCTGGAAGGGGCCCCAGGGCTCATGTGACTGATTCCCCTCAACTGACAGATGGGAAGACTGAGGCCCAGGGGTGGGCTATTTGGGGTCATGCAATGAATTGGTTTGCCATAGAGTCTAAGGTGGAAATTGCTCTACCGACCCCACTGCTCTTCCTCCCAGTCAGACGGAAAATGGCCATAGACAGTTTGACCTGCGTTTTCTCACGTGCTCCTCAGAGCTGTCAGGGGAGGAAGGCAGGGCGGGACTGTTATCCCTGTTTTATGAGGAAACCCACTGAGGGTCAGGGCATGTGCTGGGGGTCACAGCTGACTGGTTTGGACTGGAACTCGGGATCCCGAAGGCCTGGGGTCGTCCTCAGACCCAGCCTCGCAGCTGGAGGGGAGGCCCACCCTTCCCCCTAGGCATCTGAGGGTCATGTCTCCACTCCTCAGGCTCACGGGAGAGGCAGGCGTCCCTGGTGGCCCCCTGAATGGGTTGCTGTGGTTGGCTCCTCTCTTGAAACTCTACCCATCACTCTAGAAACCACTGCTCAAATGAAACAGCATGAGGTTTTGCTTTCAGAGAAATCCAGTCATGTCTGTGCATATGTAGGTCTCAGAGGTGCTAAGCACCTGGGGGACGAGGGAATGAGGGGAGCTAGGGTGGGAATTGGGATGTGGGTGGGGGGAAGGGCACTGTCAGCACTCTGCTGTCTTTGGAGACCTTTCTGTTGCTGTGTAATACATTTTGTGGCTTAAGCCAGCACAACCTTACTAAGTTACAGTTCTGAAGTCAGAAGTCTGACATGGTCTCACTGGTCTAAAATCAAGGTCTCAGCAGAGCTGTGTTCCTTTTTAGAGGTTTAGGAGATGCTGTGGGTTTCACTTTCCAGCTTCTAGAGGCTTTGGCCCGTGGCCTCCTTCTCCATCTGCAAGACCAGCAACATCGCATCTCTCTGGCCCTTCCGTCGTCACCTCTCTGACCTACGCAGGAAGGAGTCTCCACTTTTAAGGACTTATGTGGTTAGATTGGGCCTACCCAGGTGATCCCGAGGTCCTGCACTGTAACCTCATCTGCAGAGCCCCTTTGCCGTGTCAGGGTAAGGTGTTCAGGTCCAGGGATTGGGATGCGGGCATTTGTGGGGCCACTGCTCCACCACAGAGGCCTGTCTGGCAGCCTTCTCGTCCTCTTGCCCTGCATCTTAATTAACACTTGTGTTGTGTTTCCTCCTCCATCTGGGTCAGCCCAGCTCATGATACTGGGGTTCAGGGAAGGTGGCTGGGGTGAAGGGCAGGAGGGGTCTTGGTGGGGGGGGGAGGCAGCTTCTGCTCCACTGAGTGGAGCTGTTGCCTTTTCTATGGAACGGGGTGGCCGTCCGCGGCCCCGCAGCTGTTGTGAGGAGTGCAGTGAGATGCCTCAGGTGCCCGGTGGCCTTTATCACTACGTCTGTCCCCCTCTCGGGGGCTGCTTTCCCAAGAAGGCCCAGGGAACCTGAGGCTTGGAGCGGGCTTGGTGGTCTTGGCTCCTGTCCTCAGCCTGAGGGCGTGTCCTGTGCCTGGGGGTGAGGAGGCAGTTGGGTTGGTAAACAATAACAGAAAATTTGGGGTTTTCCTTTGACTGCGCTGGAGACAGGAAGTGCGGAGGGCTGTGAATGACAGTGAGTAGAGTAGGCCGGGCTGGCTCAGGGTGTGAAGGAAATTCAGTTCTTCAAGGGAGGAGGGTGGAGTTGGTGAGGCTGGAGAGAGTGGCTGTCTCACCTGCCCTATGAATGTAAACAGACCTGCTGGGCGCGCTGCAGGTGGGCCCGAGGGGGCTGGACTGGGCCCGGGGGACAGGCTCTGTGCTCTCTGCCCGGGAAGTACAGCTCCTCCCTGGCTGTGTCTCTTGAAGCCCAAGTTTGGGGGCCCCAGCCACCCCAGGGGGAGCCTGGCTGAGTTTGGGAGTAGCTACTCTTTGGAAGGGACACCAGGCTCTACTCTGAGGGGCCTTTTGGTGACATCCTCTTCTTTCCCCTGCACTCAGTTGGACCAGTGTGGAGACCAGCATACTAAATCACGCGATACCCAGGCACTTACTTGACTCACTGTGCTTTGGGAAAAAAACTAAGACCTAGTTCCTGCCCGGTTCCTAGTCAGTCAGAGACAAAACCCACGTGCAACCGTCAGAGGCCTCCCTTTTGCTGCATCCACTACCCGGACGCATGCTTTGTGGTCTGAATCAATCCATTCAAAAGTGCTCCAGGAAAGGGTGTGCCATCCAAACCCAGGTGGCTCAGGGCAGCCTCTTAGGGCCCTCTGGGTTTTGAGACTGGAGGAGATCCTGGATCCTGGGTCCTCGTCTGGATGAAGCCCTCAGTCCATGCCTTGCCCTCCGCCCCTGGGCCGTGAGGCTGAAACATGGCCATGCCAGGACTCTGAGAGGAGGGAAGCACTCCCGGGGGGGCGGGGGACAGGGACAGGGTCCTCCCCTAAACAGGCCACCTGTCGCAGGGTCAATGCCTCGGCCTCCTGGGCCTGAGCTGCGCGTGGGGAAGACCCCCAGCCTCCCTCCGGGAACAGAGACGCCATGCTCCGACTCAGTGCATCTCAGGCACCTGCCATGTGTGATGCCCAGCACTTGGGACCTCGGGGAGACACAGATGAGTCAGAAGTGGGTCTGGCCTTCCTGGGGCTCAGGCTAGAGGCATCGGTGGGTTTGGACGTGACAGAAGGCAGGGAATGTCAGCACTTTTGTGAAACGGACAGAGCAGGTGGCTGCGGTGTCGGGGGTAGGTCTATTCTGGCAAAGGCTTAGGAGCCCTTTGAGCTGGCAGATCTGCCAAATTTGATGGTAGAAAAAGAGGGAACAGCATGGTGGAGATGTTCCCATTAGAGTTCCACTCTGGTTTCTACTGAGTCAGAGTCAGCCCTTCCTTTCTCTGAGCCTAGGCCCACCCCTTCTGTCTTCTCGTCTGCGATGCCGTCTGCTCATCGCTTCAGCCTGGCCTTTGGCCGTCGGTCCTCTGAGCGGGAATCCTGACTGACCCCCTCGATGGGGGGTGTCCTTAGTGTTTTCTGTCCTTTTTTCTCTTCGGCCCCTTCAACCCGGAGTCCCCTCCTTTACCATCCATGCTTGTTTACCCCAAATCGAAATTTGGGAACATAGCCCGATAGGGATTTCCCCATATATTCTTTTTTTTTTAAAGTAAGGTGTAGTTGATTTATATTATGTAAGTTTCAGGTGTACAACATAGTGATTACAATTTTTAAATATTCCATTTATAGTAATTATATGATATAGGCCGCATTCTCTGTGCTGTACAATGTATCCTTGTAGCTTACTTATTTTACACATAGTAGTTTGTACCTCTCACTCCCCTCCCTTTCCCCTCCTCTCCCCATCCCCTCCTAGTCTTAAGGTCATTAATTTTTTTTTTTTGAGAGTTATGGTTTATTCGGGGCACTTTCTGAGGACTTCCCACCCCGGAGGCAGCCTCTCAGATTGCTGGAAGGGACTGCTCTGAAGAGGTAGACTGATAAATAACTAAAATTTGCAGATTATGCAACAATGAACATGTACAGCTTTTCCTAAAATTTTCTAGTGTTTTCTTTTTCCTGGTATTTAAGTAAAATGGTCATTAATTTTTAAAGAATCCTTACAAGGTGTTATATCTTAAACTTAGACCATTTTTTAGTTACACATTTTACACGTCATTATACAGAAGGATCACGTTACATGAGATTGGGGAGGTTCTCGAAAAGTGGGGTGAATGGCTGTCAAGGCCTCCTTACTCCTCTCCCCTCTGAGTGTCTCTGAAAAGCCGAGTTCTCTGCAGGCCTTTCTAATCCCTGTTCACCACGATCCCTGCACCACACGTCAGTATACTAAGCCTGAAGCCCTTGAGAGCGTCCCTGTAACAAATACAGCTTTTAGTGTACCTAAGCTTCCACACTTTTTATTTTTCACACACCAACCTCTCCAGCCTGAGGTTGCCTTGAAAAGTCCATCCATCCTCTGGAGGAAGTAATTATTGTTGCTCTGAAGGAAAGTTACTACCCAGAGCCTCTGTCCAGGAGGTCTTGGCTGTCAAGGCTGCAGGATCTCAGGTGGGGCTGCTAGTGGGTAGCTAATCCTCGGAGCCAGGAACCTGCACTTGGTAAATCATT